CAAAAATGTTGTAATAAAGTTGCCACAAACGCTTATACAATAAATATTGTAAAATAATCATAAGAACATTTTATTTTCCTACTCACGATGTTGTCGTCGTGTGCGACATAAATCCACCAATTCTCATAAACCGGATAAACCAGCTATGCTAGCGTGACCTTAAACTAATTTGCAGAATTCAAACAAAACACAAAATTATAGAAATATAATTCAGTTACACCATTTTATTTCTTTTTGTTTATTCACCAATATTGAATCTATTATTACCAATGGATAAACAAAACAATAGAGTAACTGAATTAAAAAATAATAATTTTCAATAACAGGTGACATACGAATTCATTTTATGAATTCACTCTGCGAACATCTAGAATTCTAGACTATAAATTAACCAGATAGTAGAGACAAGGTATATTTTTTGGGTCTTCTGTTTGACGGTGAGTAGTGCACATATTAGCGGAGTATAATCATCAGAATGCATTCTGGTGAAATTAGTATTATACTTCCTATCCTTCTTAGTAATAAGGGGTTCAAAATATTAGTATACCAGGTTACACCAGAGTCCGGAGGTGGATGGATCTCTGGCTTACATGCCATCATGTGTCGGGGGAGTGGTGCAGATCAATCATATTGGAGTCAAGTGGGGTAGGTATTCAGAAGGGGTCACTCACATTTGGGGCCTCATCCTCAAGAAAATATACCGTAGTTTTGGTGGTCATGTCGTCAAGAAATTACTTCATGGACGAACACTGCCTGTCGCCCATTAATAGTTCGGGTAGGGAAAGTGCGTAACGCACACAAATGCGGCTAGGGAAGTTTTCTGTGTGTTAAAAAAAAAAGACTACGCTGAAATCAATAAAAAGATACTCTATTATTGTTTATAGACTTCAACTGGTTTTATTAAAGCAATTTATTTGAATTGTTGAAATCTGATTTTGTTTTATTTCCAGACTAGATAACTGAAAGATAACTACAAACGAACGATTTATTTAGGTCTGGAACAAGACAGAATACTTTTTATGGAGCTTAAAGATTCCAGAGTTTATAATAGGTTTTTAACTAAACTATGAAATTATTATATTAAGAATAAGTGCATATAAGAAAAGGTTCCTTTTGAGTGAACTCGTCCTACCGTAGATCTCATTCATATCCTTGAGTGAACCCATTATAAATAAACAAGAAAACTTTTTTATTCAATCAAGAATTTTATTATTACTTGCTTATTCGTGATGTTTGTTGTTATTTATTGGAGTTATAGTGGAGACACTATCTGTCCTCGTCACTCCGTGCGCTAGGCCATGACGTCATGTGTTATTAAGCTATTATTGAAATATTTTATATTTTCTTGCAGATCGCACTCAAAATCACAAATAAATATGCTACAACTTGATTACTAATCTGTACTGTAAGCATTATCTTAATAGCTGTCAACAATAACCCTACTCGGTGGATCGAAAAAAGATGCAATCTCAGAGTCATTAGACTGCAACATCGTTAGCTAATATCTAATACACCTTTCTCTTTCTCACATCGTATTGAACTATACGCCTTTCCCTTTCTCAGAAAACAATGTTACATCACTAATTTTATAAAAAAAAAACTATATTTGTATAAAATTAATCTTCAATTTACTGTCTAAAGGCTGTAGCTCATGAATCGTGATAGCTAGACAGATTGTAAGCTAGATTGTATGAAAGGGTGTCTTTCTGTGTTTTTTTTTATAGATACATAATGGCATAGATCTCTTTGTGCGTGATCCCCACTCCGATTTGGCAGATTTTAATGTCGTATACGCTTTGGTAATCAAATCTTATGAAATAATCAACACCAAAGAAACAAATAGTTTTGTGTAATTTAAATGACATATCACTCTCTTGAAAAATAGAGATTACGCATGTGTCAGGGCGTGTCGACCTTACCAATAAGCAATGTATAAGCGTAGTAGTATTTTGTCTTTTTGATTCGAACTGAAAGTAACGTTGGAATTACATGAACATGTGTGACTAAAGTTTCTTATTAGCAAGGGTAGCAATGTACATTGCTACCCTAGCTAAAACCGAGTTTTAGCTACCGCACACTTTATGGCCAAACTAATTGAATACTCTTTGGTAATCAGGGGTAAAATTAAGGCTAGAGTTAGGCGGTCGCACCCCTGAAACCAAAGAGTATTCAGTTTATAACAATGATGATATTTCGTTTCATGTACTTCCTTGACATGTCTTTTGATGAATAAATCTGAGAAAATTATAGCTAAAGAGTTATGCGGACGCTCTGCAGGTAGTGGACAATCTGGTCCTGATGAGTAGATGCATTCATCTCCAGCACACCTCAAACATTCATTTTTGTGCGTTCTTCTGAACGCAGCCACTAAACGCGTTCCCTTGTGTCTAAAGTCAGGCCATTAAACGCGCCCACCAAAAGCAGCCACAAGTGGCGGAAACCATACCCGAAACCTTAGATAGAAAAGATCATTTTCTACATTTACCCAACGAAAAATCTGACACAAAGAGATATTAACACCATGAAGTTCGGGTCTAATCTAACCACGGAGGTCAACTACCGGAACTTTAATAATTATTTTACTCATGTATAAGATGATTTTTGACAGCTTTTGACGACTCACCCCTCTATCTATATTACCTACATAAAAACTATTAACACTCGCGATTTTTATTCTTCTGAGGCTCTCCCTCATAGAAGAAAATAGAAAAAAAATCTATACTAAAGTATAAAGAGGTAATGTTTCAAACTTTCTTTAATTGTTTGTAGTAGGTAATTTTGGGAAATACTCTTTCACCCACGGAAGCTACAACATACGCGGGTACGGCCGTAATTTACGCAAGCAAAGTCGCGGGAAAACAACCACTCATCTATAAAGAACCAAAGAACTAACTGCCATTTCAGATTCACACACTGCAAAATATTTTATTTTTATTGGTTTAAACTACTACTTTATCACCTTGCCACAAATAGCTAGCAAATTTTTGAAAGGGCAGGCAACCTTGGATTCTAGTTGAGATGAAATTGCTTTATATAAAGGTATATTTTAGGGCATTTACCTCTTGCATTCATTAACGTTTCCCTTTTGGATTTCGCCTTAATCCTTCATTTGCTCAGTTTATTATTACTCCTACAATAGACTTATAGATATGACATTAAAATGAACAGTTTTAAAAGTGCATATCAGTCTTTGGTAAATAAATACATTTAAGAATTGTTCTTGCAATTCTGCAACCTTTCGTCTTTGACATTTCACTCTTTGAAATAATGAGTAATAGCTTGAATATATTTATTTAAATTTGCCATATAAGTAGTGCTTTAAATGTTAAAGTACAAAAAGGAAAAAAATCTAACAATATCAAATAATAATAAGTTTTCTTTTCTATTAAATAAATCTTCTATTAAAGATTGATAATCAATATTAACAACAGCAATATTGTTAACATTTTTAAAGAAAATTTAATGAAAATATATTAGAGTATGAGAAAAAGTATCCAGACTGGAAACTTATTAAGTCTGAATTTCACATTAGGAAGACAGGAGTTGTAATTACTATATGTTTTAATGAGGTAACTTCCAAAATATACATTTTGTCTGACATAATTCATTATTTCAGCCAAGAGATGCCCACTGCTGGGCATAGGCCTCCCCCAATGTTCTCCAATGTGATCGGTCCTGCGCCTCCCGCATCCAGTAGCTTTCCGCGACCTTCACCAGAACGTCGGTCCACGTTGTGGGGGGCCTACCAACGCTGCGTCTCCCGGTACGCGGTCGCCACTCCAGGACGTCACCGCCCCAACGGACGTGAGTCCTGCGAGCTATGTGCCCTGCCCACTGCCACTTGAGGTTCGCAATTCTTTGGGCTATTACGGTGACTTTTGTTCTTTGGCGGATCTCATCATTTCTGATTCAATCTCGCAAAGAAACCCTGAGCATAGCCCTTTCCATTGTCCTCTGAGAGACCTTGAACTTCCTTATGAGGCTCATTGTAAGCGGCCACGTCTCAGTTTCGTATGTCATCACTGGCAACATGCACGAATTGAAGACTTCCGTATTGAGACACTGCGGTAGATGTTCCGAGAATACACTGCGTAGCTTCCCAAACGCTGACCAGCCAAGTTGATTTACCTCTCTCTGGAAGTTACCTAATCGGACAATTTGTTCCAGGTAAACATACTCGTGGACAGCTTCCAGTGTAGAGGCTCCAACATTCACTGGAGTGGGTCTGTCATGGGAGTTTGTCATTATTTTCGTCTTTTCCATGTTTATTTTGAGACCCACTTGTTGGGAAACTACAGAAATCTTAAAGCATTGTGCCTAGATCTTCCATGGTAAAGAAGGTGCGTCATGTACTCGCCATTTATAATGATGCCAAGTCCTCTCCAGTCAAAAAGCTTAAACACGTCCTCTAGTGCGGCAGTGAACAGTTTCGGCGATATAATATCGCCCTGTCTCACTCCAAACTGAAGTTGTATTGCTTTCGAGTTTTGGTCCTGGAACTGAACTGACATGGTGGCGTTTTCATACAGTGACTGCAACACTTGGATGTATCAATAGTCTATTTGGGACCTCTGGAGACATAAGTGTTATTATGTTATGCAAACAAATAGAACAAACACATATTTCTAGAAATTATCAAGTTTTAAGATATTTAGAAAGCTTAAATTCAAAATGAATATGAGAAATTGGCCTTTTTTAGTTAACCTGAAGTACTGTCACTCATTGTCTAAAATATAACCCGTTCAACTAACGCATTCTATTTTTTTTTTTTTTATAAGGTATGTTACCTTTCTTTTTCAGAATGGAAAATTCCAGTCAATAATTTATACAACTTATTAGTATTTAGTAATATTTCAAAGATTTCTATGTAAACCATAAGTCTGTGCGAAGTACTAACAGGTGAGGACCTGTTACTTAGGAGAGGTAGGTAATAGTGTTTATTTGTTGTTTATCTGATAAATATATGAACGGAAAAATAGGCGACACAAAAATTTACTCACCGCTTTTCGGCAAACTTCTTATAACGTTGACTGCTGCATTGAACTTATCTTCTAGAGACATTATAAAGGCAGTAATTCACTTAGATGTTACAAAATAGTGCTCTAATAACAAATACACAATCGCACTTTGGACCTACAATCACATCACCTAAGAAAGTTATAATAAAAAACTATAGGCGAAAGCAGATACCAACTTTGAGATATATTAAAGTTGAATAACTCAAAAAAAAATCAAAGCAAGGCAGAGTGGATAAATAAGAAAAAGAATGTTTCAATCTTATCCAAATATACGAAACACTTTCGAAAACCCACGACCACAACCAAACTTGACGGACAACAATGACAATTCGAGATTTGATGACTGACTGTCAATCTGACATTGACAGATACTTATGATGCCATATCAAGGAAACTAAATACCTACTAAGCTGGAATGATTAGATGCATTCAGAATTATTCCGTTTATCTACCCTGAAACAGCCACCCTAAGGTAGATACTCGGAAACGTGTGTTCATCTATCCACCCTGAAAGGGGTATTAGTTTTATTGAAATATACTACTTATTAAGTACCTAGTAGTAGTCTATTCTATTCTATTCTATTTTTTATTGATGGCAAATAGAGCCGGTGTCGACTATTCTGCCAATGTCGGAAGTAGATTGGACAAGCAAGTATATTAATATGGACACAAAGGATTCGTAAGCTGGAAACGAAGTGTCTATAATTGAATAAATCTTCGATTGATATAGTTGGACTTTTTGTGTTAGTACTGGACTGAAACAAACAAAAAATAAAAATACATAAATATTATAATTGTTAGAACATTAAATATATACACATAACCACAATTACATAGAAGTCAGAGCTCATAATTTGATATTATTGTGACGGATGAAGGTCATCAACGTCACAAGTAGGTCTGGAGAGGGATATGTAAGGAGGGCGGGGACATTAATTGGGAGGGGAATTTTGAGTTTCGGGAGATGGCGATATAGATTTAAAGAAGGGACGTTGTTTATGCACTGGAAAAATATGTGTTCCAAAGTACCTTCTTCTAAACCACACTCGCATAAGGAGGAGTCACGAACACGATTTTTTTCTAAGAACACAGGAGTACAGCAGAACCCTAAGCGGAATCTGCATAGAACGGAAATGACTGGTTTGGACACTTTCTTGAAAGGGTAGAACCAAGGTTTAGGCTTAATGGTTGGTTGTACTGCGTAGTAGAACTTACCCTTCTTTTTACCAGTGGTATTCCACTGTTCCTGCCAAGCACTTTGAAGACTTGCTTTAGGCAGGTTAATTAGGTCGTACCCCTGATTAAAATTATATGACAGGTCAACTGTGGATGACGTACAAGCGTCTTTGGCCAAGGTATCAGCACACTCGTTACCTTTGATGCCACAATGACTAGGTATCCAAACTAGCTGGACTTCTTTTCGATTATTTTGACACGAAAGCAGGGATTTTTTAATTTTTAAAATTAGGGGGCTGTGCAATTTACTTCTGAAGGGGTTTTGGACCAAAGCTTGTAAGCAGCTAAGGGAGTCTGTGAAAATTACGGCTTTGTCGATGTTATGGTGTGATTCTATAAAAAGACAAGTTTCTAGTAAAGCCACACATTCGCCCGTAAACACAGAAGACTCCTTGGGGCACTTAAATTGTAGGATGATTCTGGAGCTTTGGTAGTAAACAGCAGCTCCAGTATAACTAGAGTCAGAGAATTTTGAAGCATCAGCGAAAAATTTCTGAAATTCATTCCATCACTCATCCACCACCGCGTTGAAGGTGGAGTCCGCCGAAGGAGAATTTTTAGATATGCCGATGTTGTAGAAAATTTTTGGTGTGTAACATAAAACTTCATATTCAAAATTAAAAAGGGGTAGTTTGGGATATTGGACGCTCGGACATTCAAAATTTTTATTAATACGAAAGTATTTAAGGATTAGGGGGAGTTCTTTGTTTTTCCAGTAGCTTGAGGATCTGCATATGTTATTTAATTCATTCAGTTTTAGGATAAGGGGATGGGAGGATCTACAAATAATCCTAGACGTAAATCGTGAAGCTAGATATTGCCGTCTCAGGGCTAGGGGTGGTTCGGCGCACTCGACCTGCAACGCGTTAACGGGGGAAGACTTCATACACCCAGCGATGATCCGAAGGCACTCAGACTGAATTCTATCTAGTCCTGCCAAAGCACCTTTGTTACATGGGATTAGATGAAATGTGCCATAATCTAAGATGCTGCGAACTAAGGCGTTGTATATTAATTTCATAGTATAAGGGTGGGCACCCCACCACACACCCGCAAGAACTTTAAGAATGGAAATGACACGTTCGCATTTTTTAATTAAGAAATTTATGTGGAACTTACCTATTAATTTTGAATCCAAAAATACACCTAAAAATTTTGCTTTGTTTGATAGTGGAATAGTTTTACCCGAAATGGTTATTGTGATGGGAGGGATAGTTCTTTTGCGAGAAAAGACTACTGCAGAGCTCTTTGGCGTAGATAATGACAGGCCGTGGTCTAGCAGCCAGTGATTTAAAGAGTCCAGAGAGAAGCATAGGGACGATGCGGCGTCAACGATAGAAGAATCTGATACGTACAGGACTAAGTCATCGGCATACTGAAGGATGTAGCAGTTATTATTGAGACAGGAGCCGATTTCGGCTGTGTACAGATTGTACAAAATGGGGCTGAGGACGAAGCCCTGCGGGAGACTCTTCCAGGTCAGCCGTTCATCAAATTCCTCTCCCTGGACTCTCAAAGCCAATGAGCGACAATATAATAGTTCGCATATGCATTCGATCATCTTTACCGGGATGCTCAGCTGGTGCAGTTTCTGCCTGAGGACGGGAAGAAGAACGTTATCATATGCGGATGAGATGTCTAAAAAGGTTGCGACGACAGACTCGTTTTTAGAAAATGCTAGACGAATATCAGTGACTAAAATGCCAACACTGTCCATTGTGCTAAGTCCTTTTCTAAAGCCAAATTGATGGTTCGGCAGTAAATCTCTGGATTCAACTATCCACTCAAGTCGGTTCTTAATAAGATGCTCCATAAGTTTAGCTAAGACTGAGGACAGAGCAATAGGTCTAAGGCCATTCGGATCATCTGCATGTTTGCCTGGTTTCAACAAAGGGATAATAATTTGTAGTTTTTACTGATTTGGAATCCAGCCGCGATCGTAGCAGAAATTTATAATATTAAGGAAGTATGCTTTAGCTTTATTTCCATACTGTTTTATAAAGGAGTATATCACACCATCGCTACCAGGTGCCGAGTCATGGACATGGTTGAGTACCATGTTCAGCTCCTTCAAAGTAAATGGTGCATCAAAGGGATCAGTCGATATAGTATTTAAAGGAGCACTATGGTATTCAGACGCAAGTGGAACATATGGTGGGGCTATTTTGTCAAAAAATAATTCCGCTGTTTCCCTAGTAATTGGTGAGGATATTGACGGTGAGCAACCACATCTAAATCTGTAGATGTTCTTCCACACTACTGAAATTGGAGTGGACGGGGACAAGGATGTACAAAACTTCACCCAACCTGCACGTTTTTTCTTACGGAGAAGACGTTTGGTTCGGGCACAAACTTGTAAGTACGTCATAAGATTTTGGGCGGTCATCTCCCTAATATAATGTTTTTCAGACTCGTTTCTCAGCCTAACTGCTGACGTGCATACTTGGTCCCACCATGGAGGTGACGGGATTTTGTTCCGGGCGCTATTTTTTAATGGGAAGCAAGAATCTGCACTAGAAGTAACTGCTCCAACAAATCCATCATAGCAATGCTTGGCATGACGGTGATCAGAATCAGTATCAATTTTCTCCTCCAGTAATGAAGCGAACCTAGACTAATCTGGTTTGGACAGGTTGTACTTCAAAAGTGGAGGTGAAGCTTTTTCTAAATAAGTTCTGGTAATTAAAGAAATGACAATGGGGTAATGGTCACTACCATGCGACAAGGTTGTACATTCCCAATGAGCTGAAGCTGCTAATTCAACAGAGCAGAATGTTATGTCAACGCAACTCCTCTGCTAACCAGGGGGAGACCTGCGTGATGGGCAACCATTGTTTAATATACAAAGGTCCAAATCATCTAGTATCTCAACCAGAGCTGAACCAAACGCATCACAACGCTCAGATCCCCATCTATAATGATGACAGTTAAAGTCACCCATGACCATTACAGGACTTTGTACATTGGAAAGTATGTTTCTTAAAATAGTTAAAAAGTTGTGTTGTGGATGAGCAATATATATTGAGAATACTGTGATACCTTCCATCTTTCCAGATACAATACTCATGTCACCTGTAAGTGAAGGCATAGATAATGGCAATAGTGGAACCCGATTGTTAACAAAAAGAGCCGAGCCTCCATATCCGTCGGGTCTGTCACATCGGAGGACATTGTAATAGGGTATACGGAAGCTAAGACTTGGGGTGAGCCAAGTCTCAGCTATGGAACAAGCAAGAGTTTTGTATTTGTTAAGAAGGAATATGAGGTCGTGTTTCTTATGAAACACGCTCCTCACATTCCATTGTAGAAATACTTGGCTGGGCGCCATTTTTAATTTGTAAAAGAATTTTGATAAGTTCATCGGCAACGTTGGACGGTGATTGAGAGTTAGAAGTAGAAGATATAAGGGAAGGTAATAATTTGACAAGGAGTTCAACAAGGGAGATGTCTTTGTTAGGTGGAGTACTATTTAGATTGAGGGCGCAGCCATTGGGCTGTGTGGGTTGGGGAGGTCTTATTAAATCATTGTGGGTACTTATATTATAAGAAGGGGAAAGTGGGGCATGAGTCTTGGGATTAAGCGTGACTGTTTTGCGGTATGACTGGGTTTTGGTAGCATTAGCATAGTTTCGGGAAGGAATCGGAACTATTTTGCTAGCCTCCACATATGGGATTGACTTCTCAGCCATAATAGTCTTGATAGCCTTCTGTCTGCCAAGCTCAGGGCATGACTTGCTATTGGCAAAGTGGTTGCCCGAGCAAAGCACACAGAAAGCCTCGCCTTCAGAAATGTTGCAACCATCACCGGGGTGATCGTGTCCACACTTACAGCAGCGTGGTTTTGAACGACATAGGTTCGCCACATGTCCAAATCTACAACATTTACGGCACTGTATAGTCGGATAAATGTACTGTACAACTGGGAGCGAAGTGTAACAACAGTATACTCTGGGAGGTAGGACTTGGCCATCAAAAGTGATAACGCAAGTCTCTGTTGGTTTCCAATCGGCTACACCGTCATTGTATGTTTTCCTACTAATGCGTCGGACCTTTAGAATTTTACCACATCCTGTAGGTACAGACAAAA